GGTTCAGCTTGCCGACTACTACTACTACTACTACCAAAACTGACCAATAAAAACATACCGTACTGTGATAAAGACTGACAATATTCACCCACGGCGGTGAGCAAAATGGGAACTAAGTTTATTCAGCTCACGAAAAATCCCCGTTTTTTAAAACCATTTCGTCAGTGGATGTTCGACTGCCAGTACACTGATTGCCTCAAATAGCGGTTTCCTGACGCCATATTTCAAAATAGTAAATCAGCTCAATACATAAACATAACACCACAGTCAAACTTCTACTAAGTTTAAGGAAAAACCTCTTGTCTCAAATCAAAAAATGGAATATTTTGCACGGTTTACTTGTTCTTTAAATGGATTCCGTGTAAATTGCTGTCCAAGTGAAGACAAGACCGTAAACACAACCAAAAAGTTTGATACTGACCTTTTTCTTTTATATGGCGCAAACCACAGCTGTTCGAGGAAATGGAAAAAATCGGCTTCACTTATAAACCTCATTCCTTCTTGTTTGAGAAATTTCCGAGTTTCCTTTAAAATATCCGTCTTCATGATTTCAGTCAAAAATGACCGAATTTCCTCTTCATGTTCCGATGTCCTCGTCTCCGGCACACCAACTGATGCCACGTAGTTGTCCAGGAGTTTCGTAAACGCTAGATTAGGAATAACACTAAGTTTAGCTTGGGGTGTGGCTTAATTCTCTGATAATTTCACAATAATCGTACGCGTACTCACTTGTTTCACAGTATCCGACCGTATCCTTTACTCTCAGTCCACTCACTAAACCATTCATACTAAAATCTGGTGGAGCGAGAGGCTCATGTTAAGATTGTACAAGCTAAGCAATCTCTGCTGCATTATTTCAGTATCAATATTTTGTTCTTAGCAGAGAGCCTCCAGAAGGACAAAAATTTACATGGGCTGGAAAAAAAACCTTAGTGAATCTTATGGATAATTCCGATGTTTCCACTTCCGAGAACTCATCTCTCATCCAAACTTTCCAGTACACATTTGAAGAACCGCGGCTTACCGTATAAACAGTTGTCTGTGTTCAAACCAGAAAAGCGTTCCATGAATCAGCTAGTGGTCTCACCTTCCGTAGTTGTTGCCATAATCTCATATCCTAGAAACACCTATAATTAAGTAAAGCGCTTCTTCTCTGAGTTCCTTTCCTACTGACAGATTACTTTATTCCTCGACTACTGCGGTTGACTATGTAGTAAGTGTAGCCACAATTACATTCATCATTTGGTCACAATGGGTCTCAAGAAGCTCGTCTAACTGTTAGTGATTAATATACTCACATGACTCCGAAACTACTCACATCAGGTGTTCTGTGGCATGTATGATGCACTCAATGACATACACTATTGTTGACTTATTCTAAATAATGCCTAAGCATCTTGCTCCTTATTTTATAGATTTTCCTCTCAGAAGAACACTAGTAATAAGGCTGAGGAAGATTAGTCAACAGCGCACGAGTAAAACTGCACCAGGTCGGCGAATCAATCTAGTAGGGACTTAAATAAGAAGTGGCTTTGTGCAGCACGCTCAGTTAGACAAGCTGGGATAGAGATGTAAACCCAGTTACATACAGTTACATACAGTTCTAATGCTCATTAAAGCATCGGTGGATTTATTTTTATCGCAAGAATTGAATTGCTCGCACTGGTACAATCTAGATGGACTTGAAGTTGTACCATGATGGCAAAAGACACTTCATACAATTTAAGATAGCATTTCACGTAATCGATCTACAACCAAAAAGATTTCCCTGAAAGCAGTAATCTCCCCGGTGTACATCATTACATCCACTTTGGTGAAAACTGTAACTGATATACATTCAACGTGATAATAACGCTAACTGATTTCCGTAAGCGGACGCGTCAAACTCGATCGATTTACAAAGATGACCCCAGTAAATAATGCAAAGTTAGTTTTTTCGGCGCGGTTCAAGAAATCAGTTCAATGCCTAAACCAGGTGTGCATGATCTTTTAACCGAAAGTGATAGACTCTAAGTGTAGAGGTGTAGCCAAAAAGGCATTTGAAGCAAGAATTTATAGATAAACTACACGTCTAAAAAAATAAGCAGCCTTCAGACTCAACCAAAAGTTCACTAGGTTTGTTTTTAAGCCATCGCACAACTTGACCCGAAACCCAACAAAAATACTACACAGATGTGTGAATACTGAGGTTGCAGTAATGCAGTTTAATCATCATGGAAAGAGCTTTTCTGACCAAGAGGCTTGCGTGACTCACCAGGTATTGTTCGTATCCTGCTTATGAGGGCAGGCAGATTAACCTCTGCGAATAATGGATGTGGCGCTTCATCAGCTTGCGGATTGCTGTTTTTCATTGGACCTATACTCTTGAAGCTCAGTACAGCAAAACACTTGACTACCTTGAAAATTCAAGGAATAATCCTTCGTTGAACCGGATTTTGTGTGTTCGATCTTCCATAACTTTGTCACAAATTCGCGCAAATTCGCTTTTGAAATCTGAAGGCTGTAAATAGACTAAGTGCGTGTTTTTTAGCTTAATAAAATAAGGGGTTTAGGGAGATGTTTTATTATTCAACTGTTATATGCCATCTTGTGGTTTATCCGTGAAATTTTCTGTAGAGAAAAAGGAATCACTTAATCAATCTAAAACTGAGATGTTTTATTTCCACTAGACATTTTAATTCGTTGAGGCTAGCTTCTCAAGAATTTGGTCTGGTACGTACTGAACGAAACGATCACACCCCACTATTCCAATACCCATAACGTTTTTATTGTCAGAGGACGATAAATTTTGGGTAGTTAATACCCGTCTATCAAGATGGTTGCTGCGAACCTCACCGAATTTTAGCGGTAGTCATATTTGATCTTCACTGGAGATTGTTTTCATCTCCGTTTCTGGTTACATGCTATTTGGTCGTGTTCCATACGATAACTCCATCATTATTGTATTCAATACGATGACAACATACAGCCGCAAGGTAGGTTATGAGGTGAAATAGTTGCACCAAGATGTCAGTTCACACTGATTGATATGAAGCGTCAGTATAAATAGGTAGTTTCATAAGCTGCGATAATATACCATGTACAGTGCGTCTAAGTTGGACAAAGTACTATGAATGTTCTCATCAACCATATAGACTATCAAAAAGATGCTATATGAAATTAAGGCACGCTTGACGGAAGACTTCACCGTGTATTGAAATCAGGTGTCCGTGAATAATAACCAATCCATGGACTTACTTTTCACCGCTTGAAAATACTAAGAATAGCACCAAAATACCAGCAGTACCGTAAAAGTTTCGATGCATAGCCCACAATTGGTAAACCACTAAATTCTTCACCGCTTCTCTCCCAATACAATACTGTGTTCTCTTGGTTACAACCGCACTAGCAGTGCCTATCATATTGATCTTCTGCCCTATCGGAAGTCGCTAATTGACTGGGGGTAGATAATGGTCAAAATCGATTCATCGTTCCGTAAGAAAAACAAAGAAAAACAGGTCATCCACAATCTGAGAACGATCGGTCTGTCACGCTACGAAAAGTGTGGTTGTTCAATAGCTGAACGTTCAAAGCCGATACTGTCGACCAAAATGTTATGGCGTGAAAGAACAAGAGCCGCAATTTTGTGTACAGTGAAGGAAACATGCTTGTTGCACACGATAACCACTCCGAGGCAATGATTGACCACCCTCCATATCCCCGTGGACAACTGCCAAGAACACTGGTTATTCTCCTCCTCACTTGGTAGAAAAGTAGCCTGTTGTAGTCACATGCCAAACGCCTTATTCTTCTCCATTGTGTTCTTAAAACCAGAATCCATATCAGTTATTGAGTGGGGCTGATTGCTTATCAGCGCTTAGGGAAATACCGGCATTAATCTAACGAAGATTAACCACAGGTAGATATGCTATCTAAATCTATATACCAACATCCTTCACTGATGTAGAATGCCAAACTTTGGAACCAGTTTGATCGTATTCTGGCTCGCCCGAATTTCAGGTATTTCACGAACTAGAAAGCTGGTACCCACAAAACAGAGACAAAGCAACGGAAGATGTAGGGCGCGTGCTCGATTCATTATGTAAACGTAGTCAGCTGTACATGTGAAAGGAAGAGGGCCTTCGCTGAGGAGTTGTTCATTCGGAAATGCCAACTGACCGGTTACAGACCATTGAACAAGGAAGCAAAACTCTAATCTGCATCTTAGTTACAAGAACTGAACACAGATCTCCCAAACGAGTCTTCCTGGAGACTCATTGCCTCCAATCATTCGTCGGTCAAATAAAAGCAAATGTTACGAAGTGGCACCGCGAATTCCGCAACATTCCATTTTTTAATCGACGCAAAGCGAAATTTTACGAACAACACATACTACTCGCATGTTTCCCGATCAGTAGTATCACCGTTACACATGTAGTACCGAAATTACTCACAAAAAGGCACCCAACCGGTTGCTACTGTATGTTGCTTCAACTGAATTGTACGTTGCAAAATGCACGTTTACCTACAACATAAGGGAGAAGATCACCATGTACGATGTTTCACTCACCTTGATGTTCTGCGCAAATTGCACCGGCATATCAAAGTCTAGTAAGTGGATAAGCTTAAGGTTAGAACATCTTTACTAAGCATTTGGCAAATGACTCGAATGATTCCAACTCCGGTTGTTTTTAACCGTGGAAACTAATCTATATATAAATGTTCTTCGATCCAGGGATTTTGGGGAATTTTTCTCCTGAGGTGTGAACCGGAAGTACTGTTAAAAATGGGAAGCCAATGTGTACACGACGTGAATGGAAATGAGTACATTGGGAAAATACAGGTAAGCTGTCGGCCTCCCGACTGACGGGTATGTTTCCAACCGGTGAAAATGAACACCAAGTTTGTCACACCCACTGCCTTTTTGTCTATTTAAGGTACTTTAGGACGCAAAATTTGTGCACCATTAATCGGTGTCAGTGAAAAGAGACATACCATACTCCAGGTGGGCGTCGTAAGTACACCTGCTTATCTACCTCATGACTATGAAGTCTGATGTCTGTGTCTGGCCGCTGTAACCTAGATTGTGGAACTTGTCACCCGGTGCCTGAACCGACTGAGCGTCTGTTTGATCAATGAATTGTTCTGGTCTCAAGCTACTTTACGGACGTCACGTGGCCGTCGACGTTGTTTGCTTTGTGCGATATGACATCTACTGTCGTGACCTAAAAGTAGCAACCCAAAATCTTCCTACTAAAGTTGTTTGGACTGATTGAAGCCTTGTGATTTTGGGCGTGGCATCGTCTGCACCACCTTCTCGTAGTCCTAGGTCACGATAAGTTTTGCGGGCCATTTCTGCTTTTCCAGTGTGAGAACTGCCTGGTACAGTTGCTGAACAGCTTATCTGACGTGAGCACGCCGGACATGAACTGCACGTTTAGTGAGTTTAGACGAGTATCATTTGTAGCAGTCCGATGCATTTTGTTCACTGGGAATCAGTGTCAAAAGCTCACCTACCAGCCCAAAAGGTTGAAAAATTTCAGGATGAACGAAACAGTGGACGCGGCAAACATTTCTTCAAAAGGCGCACCTCAAAAATGAAATTCTCACAATATTGACTTCCATGAGCTTTGGGTGTCCTCTATTTTGGTGCTTCCTTTGGAGGTAGGTAGAACTCGAAAACAGACTGTACTTACTTGGCCAGGTAAACTGACAATCTCGATGAGCATGCTTCAAAGGTGTGTTGCAGACAGTAATGATAGCATCCAACGTGGGCGTACAACCACGCGAGAGTGAATATACCTGCCTCAAATAATCAAGGGATGGTCTCGTTTTATAGTGTCCAAAAAACTTTTGTTGGCTACAGAACCCTGAATTCGGACACCCGACGGTACTAAATATTTGGCCTATTTCTTCTGGAATAAATCTTCGAATGAGGTTAATTTAAAAGCCAGTACTTGCGTGTATCGATTTTTTTAGACTTTTAATCTCCTCTGTTTTCACTGAGGAGTCTGGTTTGTCTAAACCTTACCGAGAAATATGTCATTTATCCGTTGAGGCTGTACAACTCAACGTAGATAACTACCCTAAAATCCATGCAGGGGACGTTCTTGGGGAACACACATCAGCGGACCCGTCCGATCACCCTGTTGCTAATTTACCCCACAAGCCATACAGCCATCTGCTAGCTAAGCTCGTGCACAGCATTGTTACGTGATCGCACGTTTGGGCGGAAAGTTGCCCATGGGTTTTAAGCCAAAATATCGGCCATTGACGGGACTTTACCACACATAGTTTTGGAGGGATCGTTCAGATTTGAATAGCTAGAATGGCTGAGCAGCAGCCTATTACGCACTTCTGAAAGTACTGAGAACGCTTGTGACCTCGGGTCTACTGGCATGACTACCATTCTTAATTAAAAAGGTGATATCGTACCAAATCAACTCATTCAGTTGGTGTAATGCTGGAAGTTATCGGACCAGCTGTGCGTTTCACCTTTTAAACCTTTATGCCGAAAACAAAGTTGGGAGTTCCAACTGGTATTCAGTTGTTTTCCCGATTAACACCACATTAGCTTGCAACTCCGTTTAGCTAACAATCGGTCTACATTATCTACCAATAGTGAATTATTTAATGATAAAATTTCGAAAATCACATGTAAACTTTTTACTTGCGAGAGGCGCGTACGCAAAATTTGAATAGGACAAGTAGTCCATTTCAAGAGGCACTTCCGAGCACTTGTAACATGATAGGAGGACGGTACCCAGTGATATGCGTTGTACGATTTTAACGAGTCAAAATGTTTCTTGGTCAGGCGGCATCACAGAGAAACAAGTTTTCGGCTTACAAATAACCTCTTCCTCAGGGATGGCTTCGGGAAGGTGTTCCATGAAAATAAGACCTAGTATGTCTAATTTGTGATTACCTGAGGCCTTCTTCTACTGAATCAATTTATGGTTGAACTTCCAAGCACTTGCTACCCAGTAAAATCTCGCAGGTAGTTCAACATCAGAAATCGAATGAGCAGTGTTCTTGCCGTCTTAGTTTTGCTATCCACAAATGCTTGCAGGAATCAAGTAAAATGTCAATATTATGACTATTAGTTCTCCCTACATAATGGGTCAAATTACTACCATGTGATTATTGGGAAGCTAAATAGCAGCGAGCACGAACACAATTTTTGTTTGGCATGCGGGCTCCGAAGAAAGGTACCCAGTAAAATGGTAGGAGTTTTTCGTCATCGGGTAAAGAGCAGCTGAATGCAATAACAAAGACACTGACTGTGGTAATGAAAACAAAAAAATCCTCCATATCAGTTGGCCCGTCAGCTAAACTGGATGATTTAGTCGCGGTGAGTGTTCGACTGTCGGTACGTCACATCCGGTTGGTACATCGGTGTACAGAAATTTATAGTCTGATGAATTACAACTATGCTGGATGCTCAGCTAATCAGACAAAATAACGACCATCTATTCACACCAGGCTGACAGCATTTCTTCCAAGAGTCTATTCACAGTGCATAACCAAATAGACAAAAACATCGGAAATAAAAGTGAGGGATGCACGCACTCTGTATGTACTCCTCGATAACTAATAACAGGAGAACCGAAAATGTATATTCTAAACAAAAAGGTTGGTTACATGGTTGTAAGTTTCTCGGTTTTTGTTACAATGAAACACGCATCATGAGACCAATCACTAGGAACAGATTAGTTGGATGCCGCAAGTTTTCTTCTACGGGATATTGTTGAAGGAACAATATTCTTGAAATCAGTACAATCTCCAATAAATCGCATGATGAACTTTTGTTGGCCCTCCAGTGAGTGCTTCCTCTGTACTTGTTCTGTTGTTACGTGCCCGTTGTGAAACGTCACATACATGCTCTTTGTCTATAGTAATGTTCTGTAAGTTACCTTTTGAGTTTTTGTCTTATGATGTTTTATTGGTCGAAAGTAGCTTTTAAAATGATGCAATAATAAAGCCTCTATTGGAATTCTATTTAGCTTCGCACCACCGCTCACTTTATTTGTAATGGAGTGTTTTCACTGCTTAAATAAAATGCAACGTTCAAAACAAAATGATTTTTATAGAAAATAGGAGTTAAGCCTAATTCATAAGGTCCAATTAAAGGGGAACCGTTAGTGGGATGTCGATGTAGGGCTCTGTCACGAACAGTCTGTCAAGTTTTTCGGTTGTAACTGAATAGGAGGTTGTAACATGCCATCTTTGTGTCAACTACAACTTACTCACCAAAACTTCAGTTAAAAGCTGTCACTATCCAAGCTTAGAACGTTCTGCTTGTCTGGTTTTGTAATTTAGGTAAGTGGATGTCTCACGGAGCTGAATGCTTGTCAGTCAGATTAAA